TGGTTTTTCCTCATATTTATTGTGCATAGAGTCTCTGTTGTGTCATTGGAATTTTTTGCAAGATCTTTGTGTATTGATAATAACAGTAATGTTCCTCTATACTTAATGCAAGCCACTTACAATAGTATTTAAATATGTTAAGACAGGCTAAGTCGGACAAATACACATATAGATAAGGCGAATTTAAGGATATTAGGTAATAGAAGAGTCAAAAGCGTGAACATCACGTGAGGAGTCCGTGTACCAGAAAACTGAACATAACGTCAGGTGTAACAGTCCAACGATATCTTAAAATGGTTTAATTTACTTTTATCAGGAAATACAACAAAATGAAATCTATAGATCATGTATATTTTATGCATATTTGGAAATAAACTGCCGAAAATATAGAGATCAGGTCTGGTATAGATGTATCAGGAGCTACCCAGCTGTAAATGGGAAGTGGAAGCGATTGAGTGCCTCTCTGCTCAGTATACACTCTGTTATAAACACACTGCTAACGAACAGTCAGGCCTACAGGAACCACTTTCCCTTACTCATAAGAACAAGATCAGACACAGCTTTACAATCTACTCAGTTACAGCCTGGACCAACACTGGCCAGACTTTAGCTCTCCTCTAGTTGTTTCTCTTCCATGTTGGAAATAATTTCATATGATAAATCTTGGTTTTACCCCTTGTGGTGCTGCTATGCATGTGTAGATATGTAAATCAGGTGAAGATTACTCACTGATATGTGTTAACGTACGTGTTTCATGTACGGCTGTACAGTATGCTCATTGGGAGTTTGTATAATTTATGTCCAATATATATGAATTAGTCATGGGCAACACACATGTTTTTCTATGAATGAATGTGTGTTGTTAGTTGTGGGGACACAATACTGGTGTATGTAGGATATATGTGGGGATATACAGACGTGTGTGTATAAGACTGGTGTATGTATGCCACCTCTTGCGGACCATACAGACATGTGGCTATATGTCTGGGGTATGTCTAACAGCCCTCAACGGTATTATTGAAAACAGCGCCGTCAGGGGAAATGTCTGTTACGTCATGCAGGAGGACACGCTGTTGGACAAGGTAACGCAGGGGACAGGCGTGTCCACCAGTCCCTATAGGGTGTCAAATATGTGTGTGTGTTTCTCTGTATGTTTGTACGGCTGTGTGCTAATGTTCCTGTGTTTGCGTTTGTATGTGTAGAATTTTAATGTGAGTGTGTTTGCATTTGCATGAGTTACCTTTCACATGTTTGTATGCGCAAAGGTGACTAAGATATCCTTGAAGCTAGTTAGGAGATGTATGTAGGTAGATAGACTGATAGAGAGATAGGTTGAAAAAATAGGTAGACAGATAGATAAAAAGAGAGAGTTTGCTTGAAATCAATGTGTATGTACAGTATAATATAGAAAACAATTAAAAGTCCAGCTCAAAGCAAATAATTAGGATCAACAGTGGGAAGAAAGAAAGAATTTGGGAATATATAGGAAATTTTAAATTAAGTTATGTTATTGTCTGAGAATGTTGACCAAGAAGGAAAAGAAAATAGTACACAGTAGATAATGGATCATATGAGTGTTGCCTGAAGAGAGAGAGAGAGAGAAAGAAAGAAAAGGAAAAGGGGAGGGAGAATGAGTATGAAAGGACAGAAAGAGAAAGTTTATCATGGTCACAATTGTTTATATACCATGTTTGTCTCCGTCGTGTCTGCCTAAAACATCGAAAAAATAACTTCACGACGCCCACGATATAAAACAATTTGGAAATAATCGGAGAATAATCTTTAATTGGAAGTATTGCGAGTTGGTTCAAATTGATCATGACATCAATAGTACAGCTTAGTGAATAATTGCCTTCTAAACTACGAAAAAAAAAAATACCAACTAGAAATGTTACTCACTTTGCTGCGGGACCTAAAATCTACATATAATATAACCATTTTCACCTATATAATATCGCACATCCTTAAACACTGTATTACCCAATGACAGGTCTCTAAGTAGCCAAGTTTACTAAGGCTACAACCTGTACTTTTTAGTGACCTCACCAGTCCATAGAGAAAGATAATCGTGACTTCTTCCCAAAAAAAGAACTAATTGGTAGTATAAGAAGCACGGAGAACTAACCTGAGTTACCAGACATTAGGCAGTAATAACCAGCACACCATACACCCTGCTGTTGCCAACCACAACTACACGGGACCGCCTTAGTAAGTGCGCATCATACAGTCTGCTGGTCTTTAGCCAAAATGACCCACGCCTACTAAGGATTGGAAACATTTTTACTAGCTGCTAGCGAATCAAAACAAGGGATTAGAAATCGAGAAACGTTAGCAAATGGAAATATTCAACCTCTTAGATACTTGTCATGGGATCATATGCTAGTTAATAGGTACCACACAAATCCAAACATATCCAGACTACCCAAGACTACCAGGAATTAAACGCATATACGGCCTCCTTGAAGTAGCCCCGTTGCTAGCCAGGACTAGCGAGGTAGGGGAGTAGCCATGAAGCAGACACTCGGGGCGTCACTCAGGCTATTTTTGGCTCCTTCCCTGACTCACAGCTCTAGTCTGTGGCCTCCTTGGGTCTACCCCCACCCCCTTACCCTCCCCCATCCCTCCCCATCCCCCGTCCTCCCTCCTACTCTACTCTCTCTTCCCCCTCTCTCCCTTCTCCCTCCCTCTCCCCATATTCCCCTCCCCCTATGGTTTTCTTCTATCAATTCTTTTGCCATTCCCCTTTCTTTATTTTATCTCCCTTATCCACTCTTTTCTACCCTTCCTCCCCCTTCTTCCCGACCCCTTCTCTCTCTGCTTCCCCTCTCTTTCCTATTCTTCTCCCTTCTTCTCTCCCTCTTCATTGTGTTTTTTTATATGTCTCTGTTCCTCTTATCTGTCTCTCCTTTATCGCCTACCATAATTTCTCTCTCGCTGATTCCTTCCCTCTTTCTACCTAACCTCTTATCCTTCATTTCTAGTTTTTCCCTCCTTACTCCCTCCTTACTCCCTCTACTCTGCTCCTTGCGTGTCTTTCCCTCTCCCCACTCCCCTGCTCCCTTAATACCTCCATTCACTCCCTTTCTTACTACAGTCTCCCTCTCCATGCCTCTCATTGACTCCCCTTCATCCCTTCTTCTTACCTCTTTTCTTCCCTTTTCCGTATCTTCCCTCCATTCCTTACTCGTATGGACTTTCCATCTTCTGACTCACACACACACACACACACACACACACACACACACTAACCTTCGCCGTCTTCCTCTACCCCCACTTTCTTTACCCTCATCACCATCATCTCTCTTATTCCCATTCCCATCTTCATTACCCCTACCTACTTTACCTTCCCTATTTCCACCTCTCTATCTCCTTCCCTGCCTCCCTTAACCCTACCCCCTTTGCCTTCCCCACCTCCCTTCCCTCTACCCCCTTTCCCACCTCATTTACCCCTACCCCATACTTCCTCCCTTACTCCTACCCCCTACTGCCTTCCCCACCCCTCTTACCCCTACCCCCGATCCTCCTCTACCCCCTGTGTGTGTGCTAATAATAACTGGCTTCGTCAACACTCCACAATTAGACCTCAAGTGTCACATATGACGTGTTGTTAAAGGGGTAAATTGTCCTCACAAGAACTTTTTTAACGTGGCCCCATCGTCTTCCAAGAGAGCTTTCTTTGTCTTCTCCCAGATTTTTTTTCTTCACTGCAGCCGTTTCTACCTCTTCTACTTGTCACTATAACTTGGCATTGTATAACTCGTCACTATAACTAGGCATTGTATAACTCGTCACTGTATAACTTGGCATTGTATAACGCGTCACTATAACTTGTTACTGTATAACTCGTCATTGTATAACGCGTCACTATAACTTGTTACTGTATAACTCGTCATTGTATAACTCGTCACTGTATAACTTATTACTGTATAACTCGTCATTATATAACTCGTCACTGTATAACTTGTTACTGCATAACTCGTCATTGTATAACTCGTCACTGTATAACTTGTTACTGTATAACTCGTCATTGTATAACTCGTCACTGTATAATTGATAACTTCTACATTTTCTCATTGTAATGTTGTCTACTTCCTCCGTTTGACACAACTCTGCGTCTTCAACCTCTCACTCCAATAATGTCTGTTCCATTTTCCTTGTTACTGTTTGTTTCTTGTCTACCTTAACTAGACATCTTCTCTCACATGACCATTGTGAATCCGGACCCAGAACAGGAACTTGAGGTTGATGATACAGACTGATTAGGTGCTCACTTAACTACATAAATAGGTTAAGATCTTATAAGGCTGAAGTAAACGGTGAAGTGATTCCGGAGTGTATTGTAATGAGACGGGAGAGGGGAGTGAGTTGGCTTGAAGGATCCTGAATTAAGTAGTGTGTAGTTAATTATAGGGAACCGGGTATATTTCAAGATTACGTGTGTGTGTGTGTGCGTTTTTGTATTTACACGCTTTTGGTACTTCACACATATCCATGTACGTGAATATATGAGTGTATGTAATGACTATGTTCGTATGCAAATCCTTGTCTTTGTAATGTACGACTCTTCAAGTCTAATGAGTTTACGGCGTTGTTTTTATGAATATACATATTTAACACAACAGTCATATAAACAGTACATTATATTAATCGTTAAACGTATACAGTACTCTCTTCTATTACGAATTAATAAGAGATTACAGCAATCGTCTGAGCTTGTCATGGAATATTTCTGTATTTTTCCAGTGGTGGATCGTAAAATGAAATTTACTGTATTACAGTCGGTAATTCCAGGTATTTTAAGACATTTACAGCCGGTATTCCCCGAACAGTTACCGGTACTCTGAGAGGGACAGGTCCTGGGGGCTTTCTCACAGGTTCCAGGAAGGATACGGAAGGTAGGTTCAGCCACGCCCTACAACCTGCACCCCAGCAACAGTGGTACTACTGACCAGTGGTACCAGCAACAGCAATGATGTCATAAACAACAACATATATTTACAATGATACCTCCTAGTATCAATGGCACCAACAATATTAATAGTGCCATCATCAGCAGCAACATTGGCACCAACAACAGCAACAATGGCACCAACAACAGCAACAGTGACACAACAACGGTGGCACCAACAGTAATAACAGTGACACAACAACAGTGGCACCAACAATAATAACAGTGACACAACAACAGTGGCACCAACAGTAATAACAGTGACACAACAACAGTGGCACCAACAATAATAACAGTGACACAACAACAGTGGCACGAACAGTAATAACAGTGACACAACAACAACAGTGGCACCAACAGTAATAACAGTGAGGTACCAATAGTAACAGTGGCATCAACAGTAACAGTGGGGCACCAGCAGCAACAGTGGGGCACCAACAGCAACAGTGGGGCACCAGTGGGGCACCAGCAGCAGCTGGTGGGGCACCAGCAGCAACAGTGGGGCAGCCAGTGGGGCACCAGCAAGTGGGGCACCGTGGGGCACCAGCAGCAGCAGTGGGGCACAGCAACAGCAGCAGTGGGGCACCAACGTGGGCACCAACAGCAGCAGTGGGGCACCAACAGCAGGGGGGCACCAGCAGCAGCAGTGGGGCACCAACAGCAGCAGTGGGGCACCAACAGCAACAGTGGGGCACCAACAGCAACAGTGGGGCACCAACAGCAACAGTGGGGCACCAACAGCAACAGTGGGGCACCAACAGCAACAGTGGGGCACCAACAGCAACAGTGGGGGCGGCAGACGTAAGCTAGACTCACTCGGGAGTTTTTTGTGACTGATACGCGACTCGGAGCCCAGATTTGGTATTAAGTTTCCGGAGCTGAGGCGTTGACGGTGCTGCTGTTACTTGGACTGTTATTTTTGTTACTGTTGCTGCTTCTGTTGTTTTTGGTGTTAACTGGTTCTGTTGTCTTTACTGTGACTGTTGCCTGCTCTGTCGTTACTATCTCTGACGTGTTCGTGTGAGTCGGGTGTTCAGCGCAGTTTGTATCTGGCGCGCTTTGTCTGTAAACAATTATTTGTGGGCAATATAAGTCAAGGACGAATATTTAATGTTTATACATACATATATATAAATCAGTATGACAGCCCGAGAGGTCAAAGGTCGAGGTATTAACTGAAAAAGGCACCACCCTACTGGAAATTTGGGGCGAAAAGGTCAAAGATCAAGGTCATTACTTTGAAAAAGGCACCACGCAGCATGAGTTGGCACCTAGCTTAAGTGCATTCTAATTATTGCTTGTGATGGTTCTGTTGTGGAGTTTTGTGTTGTTATTATTATTAGGAATGTTCTTACTGCCACTGGTGTTGCTTTTTTCTGTTCAAGTAGTTGTCATTATTGCTAATTATGACAGCCATAAAGAAGAGGCATTATTTATGCTTTTATTTATTTCTTCTATTCATCTTTCCATTCCAGTGATTTCTGGTCCAGCTGACTTCAAGTTAGGTTGACAAGTTCCATAGGCCAATATGCCCATGTCCTTGTTCCATTTTCTCTCGTATTTTGAGGAAACAAAATCCGAAACCTTGTTTTATTTCTTTGTTTGTAAATTTTAAAGAAGTTGAAGATCAAATTTTGTCATGCAATTCGTGTTTTGAGTCTCTTATCCGTTTATACTTGGACCAATATGCAGAGTGATGCCGTGGAACAACCTGCACGGCGGTATGGAAACACTTGTGAAATTGATGCTATTGTGTTGATTCAGCAAGTGTCAATGTTTACGGAAAATCACCAAATTTTGCAATATATTCTTGTTGTTCCTTAATATATCGACCAAACTTGTCGTCTCTTCGTATAGATACCTTGTAATACCCATCATTAACTGATGGAATAATATATTTGGTATTTAAGTTAGTATGTTTCTTTTACACGAGAAAATCAGTAAAGGAGGTAGGGTAGCAGGGGAGGCTTATCATTACCGTATATTTTAGTCAACTTTGGCGTTGTGTCTTATTATTTACCTGCTCTGAATGTTCTCTTTTGATACGCATCGTATTCTGGGGTCTTTAGAATTGGGGTGAATGAAATAAACATTTTATTTGAATTAGCAATCCTAATGTTGATACTGCACTTGTTGGAGGTGGTGCCTCTTGTGCTGTCTCCTGTTCTGTCGCTGTTTTTCTCGTAATGATGAAAATATGGATCCGGGTCCAGGGTTTAGCTGGGCCCGAGAAGATACAGTCAGTCATACAAGGTAGGTTGTTGTTGTCTCCTCCAAGGGCGTGAGCAGTTGTGCCTTGACCTTATGTTGCTTGTTACTTTCCCTGCTGTTCCTCTTACTGCTGCTTTAGTTACAGGTCAAATGGGTCCCAGTCTTATTGGGCTGCAGATTAACCTATCTAAGTGTAAGCATTAGGATATATGCCCATGAGGTGAATGGGGCTTCTTGGGGTCAGGGCCCCCTTAAGACTGGAGCCCATTATGATAGAACCCAAATCTTAATGATTAAGTTATGATGACATACAATAGGACTGGAGACCGTAAGTACCAAGAGAACTTAGTCCTATTTGACCAGTAGTCGACACTTCTGCTGTTGTTACTACAACTTTTATTACTCAGTTCTCAATCGCACGTAGTGTGGCAGTGTCACAAGTTTTATACAACTTGTGAATTAGTAAGTAAATAAGAACTATCATGGAGTCATTTTCACAGGCCTTCAGGTGTCAGCCCTCCGGCCCTGGTAGACAGTGGGTAACTGGCTAACAGGTTCCAGTTCTAATAGGTTAGAACTATCATTCATTTCTAATAGGCTCTAACTTAATTGGAGCATTTAGGCTCAGTGAAATGAGCGATTTTTAATGACCTCTTAGCAGAGTTTTTAATAGACTTATATAAACACTGTACAGTAAGTACGGCTTCACGCAGTCACCGGTGAATTTGGCCGCCCTCTTTACGTACGTTCAAACATCTGTAATTTTGACATAAATTCTGTAAAAGCTTTTGATATATTAAAGATTTTTTTTATAATACTTATATAAATCGTAATTATTAAGTAAAAGTTGCTGATTTGCATCTTTTTTAATTAATTTTATATTAAAAACAAAACAAACATTCACACTACTCTACTGTGTATCCCATACTTGAAGGCCAATTGACCACTGAGGCTTAGTCCAGGCGATGTGGTTCCGTCCATCATGGACTAGTGGGTGTTGAAGGGGGTGACTGGCGCCAGTCATATGTACCCCGCCTCACCTCACCTCATCTGACGTAATCATTAGAATCAGGCCTTAATCCAATCAACTCTACCCTTACCTCGCCTGTATTTATCAATGCTGCACTCTTATAGGTGAAATAATTGAAAAGAGGAAGAAATTATCAAATCGTTTCATTTATTTCGGCAGTATTCTTCATTATTGTCTTCAGTGAACAACCCCATGAAGCTGACGACCAAAATGATAATGAGATTCACGACTTGATTTCCTAAAACGAAAAAAAAAAAAAACGCTTCTTTGATTCGCAACTTCATTTCCTAAAACGAAAATACGTCGATAGAATTATTACTTACCTTAAATATCAATTAGTCGCTTCAAAGACATTCCTAGCACCTGTAGCCAAGATCACTTTTCATGCATTCAGTCCTAGTTTGGGTTTTAGTATACCAGTTACACTCAGGTGAACGGTAATATGGCTAAAATCTCACACCAAATTAAACTTACCGCGAGTAATGCTTTCAAAACCCCGACTAAAACCTTGGGTAATTAAAATGTAGCCTTCATAAATACATTTTTTATATGAATTTGAAAGTTACTTATGGCCGTTTGAAGGTTTACCTGTGAGAGTTCCTAAATAGATGGAGAGTAGAGAGAGAGAGAGAGATTGAAGGATAGAAAACGAGAGATTGAGGGATAGAGAGAGATAAACATATAGAGATTTAAAGTTTATGGAGATGAGGTGAGGTGGGTCAGGTGTAAGTGGGCGTGGTGAGACCAGGTAAGGTGGGTCAGAAGAAGTGGGTCAGGGATGGGTGGGTGTGGGATGCTCACCTTGGGTCACCTCGCAGGCAGTAGGTTTCTAAGAGATCACACAGATGGACCCAAGATATAATAAACCACCCACCTAACCTAGCCTAGCCTAGCTTGTATTTCTATTACCTGTAGTACTGTTGGGGGGAACACACACACACACACACAAGCATACACAGGTAGTATAAAGATGACACAGGTAGTATAAAGGTGACGCAGGTAGTATAAAGATGACACACAGGCAATTAGTGCCACACGTAGCTTAACATCCATATGGTAGTTCTTATAGTTTGAACTGGTGTGAAAGATTTGGTAAGTGACGGAAAAAAAGAACCTTTTAGTGAAACTCGCATCATTCTTGATATAGTTCTTGGACAGTACAGTGAAAGATGGTGAACTAGGTGATGAAAGTCATTGTTATCACTCACTCTCCTTGATAAGTCTGAACACAACAATGAAATATGATGAAAGTCACTATCATAACTTTCACCATTCTTGATAAAACACGCGAACAAAGCAGCGAAAGGTGTTGAAGTGGAAGGTGAAAGTCTCTGTAGGAACTCACCATCCTTGACAAGGGAGTTGTTAAACGTTTGGAGGTCAAGAAGAGGTGGGAGTTTGGCTGAATTAATATTAGGCTCGTCCCTCAACTTAGTGTATGACAGTGAGGTGTTGTGAACTACTGTACAGAGGGGAATAACTTTTTTCTTTTAAGTAGTTGTTGTCTGGTGTAGTTGAGAGACAGAAGTAACATGTAAACAACAACAATGGAGGATAATGATTCTTCTTGTGTACTGCAGGTGTAGGCTGGGGATACGAACAATACTGTGTGCGTATTTGTGTATGTTGTCTTAGCCTCTCCTACGTGTCTTGACCATTCTACCTTACTGTTCCCTCCTTTCAGGTGTCTGCTATTATTATCCACTCCATAGAAAAGCACAGAGTACAGATAATAGATACTCATAAATAGATAAATAGATGGACAGATAGATATATAGATAGATAACTCATATTTCTTGGCGAGAAGTTGTCAGGTATTGCTTGAAACAGATTTTTTTGTGTTAATGAATACTTGGAGACTCTGAGAGCTACTCGTGTATCACCTCATTGATACACCCTGTACTGCTTTTAGATTTGTCATATTAAACAAAAGATATTTCGTGAAACAAACCAATTGCTTGATCAGGAACTTAATTCAACTATACCTAACTCAATATAACTACACCTCGGCTAATTTACTCCTACTTTTAACGAACCAAGCCTGATCCTTACATAACCTAACCAAGGCGGCGGTTTTAGTATGAATTATGGTTTGGGTTTCCAACTTTGTCACTCAGTTAGGGTATTCCTGTATGATCTGTAATCCATGATGAACACCTAGAACTATTGTCTTTAAGGCTCCATTGTTGACTGTTATGGTGGATTATCCTTCAGATCCTGTTGGTATGAGGCGAGATAGGTCAAACTTTCATGTCAGTTACGTGAATGACGAAGAGAGAGAGATAAATAATATCACTCTAGAAGTAATTGTCTTACAGATATGTAATTTAATTTATATAAAGATATCCCATGAGCCAATAACCATCCTTCCCTTCCATCGCCCCCAAAAAGAATGTTTTAAAAAAATTCAAGTTGTTTTAAATGACTTGAAATCATATTCTGAATTAACAGGATGACCTCTGTGACCTGCACACAGTACAGGCCTTGTCTTTAATCACTCAGATTACATTCTTGAGAGTTTTCTAAAGAATCCAACGTTATAATCCAGAGTCTTTAGGCGTATTGTGTCAGTTTAAGGTCGTGGTAGCTAAG